CCTGTCCAGGTCTGCTTGCAGCTGTTCCTTGCCCTCCGGCGTGTCCACTTCTCCCGATAGCTTTGTGTCATCTGCAAACTTGGACAGAGTACATTTCACTCCCTCGTCCAAGTCGCTGATGAAGACATTAAAGACTATCGGTCCAAGGACCGAGCCCTGCAGGACCCCACTGCCCACACCCTTCCAGGTCGAAACCGACCCATCTACCACGACTCTCTGGGTGCGACCCTCCAGTCAATTCGCCACCCACCGGACTGTGTAGTCATCCAAGTCACAGCCTCTTAACTTGTTCACCAGTATGGGGTGGGATACCGTATCAAAGGCCTTCCTGAAGTCTAAGTATACGACATCCACCCCTCCTCCTGTGTCCAGGCGTTTCGTAACCTGGTCATAAAAAGAGACTAGATTGGTCAGGCACGATCTGCCTGCCACGAACCCGTGCTGGTTTCCCCTTAGCATAATTTGTCCTGCCGGACTCTCACAAATGTGAGCCTTGATAATTTTTTCAAAGACTTTGCCAAGGATGGAGGTGAGACTGAGGAAGTGAATGCACAGCCCATGCTGGCTACATGCCAGACACCCATGCTCTAGCACCCTCTCCACCCCTCCACCCCTCCTGGCTTCTGGTCTGAGCCACTGCAGGTATGTGGCTGCATTTCCTGAATCAAAAGTGAATGTCTGTCCAGTTGTTTCTCAGTTTAATTTCTGCAGTTTAGGCTAACCTACAAAGATTTAATCAATTCAGCCTCAGGCTTTTTGACTGTCTGTACTTACTCAATGAGTTCAAGCACCTGCTTAAAGTTTAATATGGTCACAAGTTTTGATCTGGAAGTTGCTGAGAAACAGAAAGTCAGAATGATATTTTTCATAGTCACTTTTCTGAGTATAACAGAAGTTTGCCGAGGGCTTTCCTGACAAAAGACAGGAGACTTTAAGAATAACTGAGTTCATGATTGGTATTTACCAAAGAAAAAAATAAGTTCTTTATTTGGAATATGAATTATACTTATTAGGTCTTTCTAAAATAGTCAATTGCCTGCCAGTTACAGTACTTTATTTTTGTACTCATTAACTGGAAGTGATCTAGAAATATATAGCTAATGCCAGAATTTGATATCAATATGTTTATAGAATACCCATCTGGATGGAAATGAATATAGTTTAGTCTCTTTTCTCTGTGAACAGCTGGCCCCTGAGCAAGCTCCACTCTTTTGTATCTCAATGGTTTTCCAGTCTGCACTTATGTTTCTTGAGTTGAGGGGATGTTTCCCTAAAGTCAGTGTCAAGAATCCCTGAACTGGGCATAGAAGGGGCTAAACTACCATTAATACCAATGTTTTAAGAGTGGAATCAAAGTGACAAGAATCTCCTCTTGTACCTGTGCACAACAGCTTATGATAAAACACCCTACCCCAAGCAATACTCTATACAACATAAAAGTTGAAAAAGGCAAAGCTTCTCCAACTGGTACTTGGGTTATACAATCTAACATAGGAAACAGTCAGATATAACATGATGAACAATGTCCTCATAGAGCTTAGACAAAATGTAAGAAATGCCGGAGGCTAGAGTCCACAAGAGCACCAGACTTCCCATGAACTTGTCTCTTTCTCTCTCTCTCCCCCCTTCACTCCGTTCTCCCCTCTCCCCCACCAAAGCACCAGCCAGTAGAGCCACCTTTGCACAGGGAAAATGCATTCTGCTCTCTTTCAAAGGCTGCACCAGTGTACATACCACCTCTACCCATTGGAAAGCTTCCATCTTCTCCAGGCATGGTGGGCTACAATCTGGAGTCAGCTTGTACCTCACTATTTCTGGGGTTGCTGACACCTGTTTTGTCTCCCAGTGCAAACTACAGAAGCCTTGGCTGCCCGTACAGAACAGACTAGTTGGGGAATAACTAGGCATAGGGGTATTTGTGGTTATGCCTCCACTTGTTCCTGGCCCCCTAAAGAGCAACTCTTCCACTGTCTCTATAAATATTGTGCACTCTATTACACCCCTATCTGTGTGCATGCAGGTGCTAGTGGCTGAAGCTGGTGGTTAATGGTCCCCTTGTGCTAGCTTCAGCATTGAAATAAATTTCCCTGTGCAGCTGGGTCTTTCTATTGGGCCATAGCAGTTCTGCACCACCCCTTCCAAAGGTTTCAGCTTAACAGTATGACTTAGGCTGAAGTGGTCGAGGTGACTGATTACTACTAACAAGATATTCTCAATTACTAGGCATGCTAGCAGTGGTAACTAAGTTACTTCTCACCTCAGATCCTCCCCTCCACTGTAATACAAAGATGCTTTGTGAAACCTTGGAAACAGAGCCTTACTGTAAAATCAGAGGGTGGATTTTTTTTAAACTGTATGAAGTAATTTGAAAACACGTATCAGAAACACCCCTACTTCGCACTGCTATCTCCCTACTGCTGTTTTGCTCTTAGTGCCAGACTAATATCAATGCAATGACAGTACATATGTAGAGATACAAATTAAAAAAAAGCATGAGATCTTCACTTGCAACAATGGTGCTTATTGGCAAGTGCACATCATGAAATGGAAATGCATTAAAAATTGCAACACTACGCATCACTGCAATGAGCCAAAGGTCACAATGCAAGATTGGGTGTGCCAAGTTCAAGTGGGAATGCTCTCAGTTATAGGTGTGGGGAGGGCAGGAGTTGTTACTTCCTACTACCACCGTCACATCAGCTGCCTGATTTCAGTGAAAAAATGGTACACTGAAAGGGGCCTGATTCATGTCATCAGGCCAGAAAGGACAATACTAAAATGCTTAAGCTATGATAGAAGAAGGATGTACTATACTAGATGGCTGTGCTCCAACATTAGTGTTTTGCCCCATGTAGCAGGAAGAAAGAATTGTGGGAACAAGGAAAATAATGTAGCATTAAACTTCACTGTAAAGATAAAGCCTCCGGCCCACTGCTTGCCAACAGTCAGCTTCTCAACTTGGGGTAGCCGACATAAGGAAGGCCTAGTTTTGGGAACAGAAGACCAAGCTGAAGTTGCATCAAGTGCTCCTGGAGAAGTGTAAAAGAGATAGACATGTCTTCTACAAAAGAAGAGATCCCTGATATTTTTAGAAAAGTATTGACAATTCCCTGTGTTTGTGGGGTTTTGAATAATTCATATATCTCCATCAAGAGTCCATATCTACTTATTATGAAAAATAATCTGGCTGGCTTTACAGAACTCAAGAGTCAATCAGGGTCTTTGCCATAAACCAGCTGTTTAGGTTGTTTTTAAAATTTTTCTTTTAAAGGAAAAAAAATAATCAAATTCAGATTATTTCTTCCAGGCAGGCAGAAGGGCACAGCATGCAGGACTGCTTTTGGTTGGCACACAGCCGGGCTCCTAACTATTTGGCAGCTTGCATGATAAATGAACACATTTCTCACAAAATGAGTTTATTACAAATAATTTGCCAGCTCCCCTCCAATTCATGAAGCACTTCTCAAAATTTGAAAAAGATCTGCATGAATCACAGAAAAGAAATAATTAAAAAAGCAGATTATTTCCAGTTCCCTTAGATGAAGTCCAGTTCTCAGCCTGAGTCTCCTTTTCTATGTATTTAATTAGTTATGACAGAAATTCAAATGCAAATGTATAGGTGTGCAACAGGGGGAGAAAGACCGGGGAGACTCCTGAGTCCAAGGGGGGAGCCCCAGGGCCAGAAGCCGGGGATGGAACAGAAAGAAGGAAAATAAAAAAGGGTAACTTGCTCACCGCAGGATGGGAGGAGGAGCAGGGACGGCAGGAGAAGCCCGCGTGGGGTGTGGATCACGCCTTAAGTTACCTGCGGCTGGCGGATGATGTCATTCCCAATTGCCGGCCGGCGGCGAAAAGGAGCGGGGCGCGCACATGGCTGCTGGGAGGGAGCCTGGCCGGTGGAGTCAGCTGGAGGTGCGGAACATCAGAGGTGACTGCCCGCGCTCACCACGGGGAACTAAAGGAACCCGGGGGCGAGCCAGCACCTGAGGCCAACACGACAGCTGCAGGCGAGCCAGGAGAGGAAACAGTAAGAGCCCCAGCAGTGTGGAGAGGTCAACGGGCTGGAGAAGACCCGGAAAGAGAGCTGCAGTTCGGGGAAGACTCGGAGAGAGGGCTGCTGTTCGGGGAAGACCCAGAAAGAGGGACACTGCTCCCAGGGGACCCAGACAGAGGGTCATGCCGGTAGGATACCGGAGAAGGAGTGGCATGAGGCTGGGATAGACGGAGAGGGGCCACAGAACCGAGCCACACGCAGGTGGCTCTGTCAACAAGCGGAGGGATAGAGAGGCTGTCGGCTCCATAAGGAAGTCCAATAGGGGCAGGGTTATGCCTCTCTTGAGGCTCATTGAGCTTTTCGTTTGAGTTCCGGAGGGAGTTTTGTGTTTCCCCACATTAGAAGGGGCTGAGGTGGTGGAGGCAGGGAGTTAGAGCGAGAGCTGAGCTCATTGTTTAAGTATCTAGGGGCTATTCGGTCAACCACAGAAATAGCCAAGATCCGCCGGGCTGGGTAAAGGGTGAGGTGCAGGGGAGGAGGAGCCTCGCAGAGGACATCTAAGAAGCAGGTGACCAACGAGGGCAACCGCGCTGCACAAAGCCCCACCCACTGAAAGATTCAAGTCGTGGCAGGCGAGAAGGGGCAGACTGCGGCGCATGGGAAGACCTCCCGGAAGGCCACCTGCAACGGCAAGACGAGTACCGGCAAGCACTCGGATCAAGGAAGCACAAGTTAAGATGTACAATGCCCGGCGGGTACAAGGTGCATACTTGAATTTCTTACCGGATGAGGATGGATTTAATCATGGAGTTAATTTTAAGTCCATGTTTAGTACTTCGCTGTATTAGGGTTGGAGGTTCTATTTCCCCATAAACTGTCCAATCAGGGCCTCTGTCCTGAAGATCTCAATCACTTTGTTACTGCTCCTACATACATTCCTTTGCTGTTCTGCATCATGGCTAGTAACCTCGCATTTGAATGGCACTCACTTCAGGAGCTAATGAAAGAGCCTTTTCGTGCTAAGCACAGCACTCATCCATGGTGGCACATGTTGCCGCCTTATTCTTTCCATCCCAAATTGACCCTAGCAGTTGATGTACAATGCCCAACGTTTGAACCAAGATCTCTATTAAAACAGTATGGAATAGTATGCTGTTCCAAAGCCAGAGGGTATGAGGAGATCTACAAGTTTTGAACAGGATATTTATTATATCATATCATACAGCATTTTAAAGAAATATCTTGCTATATTGAGAGTATTCAAAACTGTTAACAGAGGGTCACATTCCTCCTTGGTTTAATTCATTAAATTTTGTGGAATCACACCATGGAACAATACAATCTGCAATGAACTATGAATAGATTTTGAATATTTGATTTTTACCTCATCTTGTTGTGAGTTCAGTAGCTGCAATTTCATGTGCTTCATGTAGGCCATAGTAATTGGCATGTTGTAATCAATCATACTAGTCACCAAAGTCGGAGGTTTTCCATTATCTGTAATAAAAATATCTATTATGCATGATATGTTAATTGTGGAAGCTACCTCAGTATAATCTGCTGCCAAATGCCAAACTGTTTCTCGGTTGGCTCCAACTTTGGCATTTTCAATTGCTTTTACAATATACAGATAGCCATTTCCATGAAAAGAAAGTAAATCAAGCATAAGCATGAAAAATTATAAACTCTGCTATCCTAAATGACTACAGCAGATGTGCCCTATCCATCGTTTATTGTTATATGGACATACAAGCATTTCCATGGGAAAATAAATTATTTTATCCAAAATCATCTTTCTTTTAGGGATGAGTATAGCACTACACTCCATCCTTTAAGGAAATACTAAAGATTCACTACCTTCTAACTTAAGTGAATAAGAAGATCTGATTTGTTGAACTGTTCCAGTCTACCAAATTTTTATGAACCTTCACTTACACTAGGAAAATATAAATGGGTATTAGGAATAAAATTACTTTACAACCCACTATTTGACACTACAACTACCTTTATGATCCACTCCATCTGGGTTTAAATGCATTCTTTTCTGGCACTCTGAGCAGCTCATTAGAAATCGTGTCACCGCTTCTCTCGGTAGGAAGGCATAGGTCTCTGAAATCTGAAATGAATAACAAAATATAGGTGTTATTATATAAGCTGATTGAACATGATTTAACAGAGCTGATTGTTATATTTCTGAATAAGGCATATTATCCTATAATGCCAGGAAGCATAATGGAAGCATGCACTGAATACTATGCAACATTTCAAGAAACATCTTTCTAATCTAGCTACTTATCATCTAATGGCTAATAATAGTTAAAACTGAGAAAACCCACTCATTTCAAAAGCAGCTTAGTTGTCTGTTTATAGTTTGTGTAATTTCTTTTCAGCAAAAAAGACTCATATGTAACAGACATCCAAGTGAGACATTATTTAGGGGAAAAAAATCCTCTTCCCCCCTAAAATATACTAGAAAAATGCGCTGAAAAAATACTGATGCTTCTCATAGCTATTATCACAAAAACTTTCTGTGTTTATATTATTTATTTAATTTTAATACTACACAGATTTAATTTTAATATTTCACAGAGTCAACAAAAAGATACTAGAAATGGTAAGTAACCAAGGAAGATAGTCCCCTTAATGTTCTACCTTTGTGTAAGTTTCATCTATTGTTGAAAATACTCTCAGGTAGTCAATGATAAATGTAACAATTTAAATAAATTCTTACTGCTATCAGCTCTCAAATTTTAAATTTACCATCTCAAAATTTATATTTACCATCTCAAAAATCTTAAATGTATCCCTTCACCTGAAACTTGGAGCACCTTGAAATAATATACCTTGGGCACTCATTCCAGAAGAATCGCCTCTTCATACCTTAAGTTCACAAAGAACTATGCATCGTTATTCTTGATGTGTGCATCTACACATGCATTTGATCTGGGATCAGTTTACTTGCAAGCAAACTACTCATTAGCAGGGATCCTGGTTTTCCATTTCCCACAGAAAAACAGAGAAAACCACAGATTTCTCATTTTTATCAGAGAAAATGCAGATTTCTCCTTTTAGCAGAGAAACCTGGGGATTCCCTACTTTTACAAACAGCTCTTCAAGCTGGTTGAGCTCCAGCCTGCAAGAGCTGTTTGCCAACAGGGCAGGAAACCCCAAGCCCTGCCCAGAGGGGAAGTGAGAGGGAGAAGGGCGGGGCCTGAGGCTCTAAGAAAGCCACAGCTCTGCTCAGCTCAGCTTCACTCCTGGAGCCTGAGGTAAGTGGGGCTTGCAGGCTGCGGGGGACCCCTCTGGCAGGGCTGGGGGGTTATGGGTCACGGCTGGGGGCACCAGCAGGGCTGGAGGGAGCCAGCCCCACTCCCACCTGAGCAGGCAGCAGCAGTGGGGGAGTCACCTCCATGCTGCTTCTGCTGCAGCTGCCTGCTGTTGGGGACAGGGAGCTGCAGACTTGGGGCCCTGGCCCCATAGCCCTGGGAGCTGGGGGCCCCCTCCAGCAGGGCTGGTGGGCAGGGGCTGTGGGTGGGGGAAGAGGCACAAGTAGGGCGGGGAGCTGTTTTGGGGGAAATGAGGGGCGCCAGCAGGGTTGGGATGGCTTTGGGGGGGTAAGTGAGGGGCACCAGCAGGGCTAGGGGGGGCTGGAGGGGGGTTTTAATTGTAATAACAGATTTGGGGGGTTTTAATCAGAGAATCTGCAATTTTTTGTCAGAGAATTTGTGATTTTTTTATGAGACAACCAGGATCCCTGCTCATGAGTAAATGCTCCTGGGCACTTGTCTACACATGCAGGGAGGTGGAAGAAAATTTGCTGCTCCTGCAATGGTCCCCTGCCACCACCAAGGGGAGCTCAAGGCTCCAGAGCACCTGCCAGCAGCTGGCAGCCATTTTTTAAAGGCAGCTCCGCTCTGTGCTGCCTTGTCAGCTGCTCTTCTGGTCAGGAGCAGCGTGCAGAGGCCAGGGCCAGCAAATGGCAGCTCTCTTGCCATAGCCTCTGCCTCCGTGCACCATGGCTGCTCCAGCCCCTGCCCCTGGCAGCAACACCCAGTGTCCCAGGCTCCTGCTGGCCATGGTGCTAGCCCTGCTGGCCCCAGTGGGCCCCCACTGCTAAGGACCCAGGTGAGTTGCACACCCACCAGAAAGGGTGCAAGAGGCACTGCCCGACCATCTCATCACATACTCCCCGCTGTAGCCTACCTGGACAGACGCCCACGTATCCCCTACCCCACCACACACCCCCAGCACCGTGCTCACTGAAGACAGTCTCAGAAAGATACTTTATTCCCTCACAACAAACAGACCTCTCCCCCTCCCTCCCTCCCTCTGTAACAATGGAGCCCCTCCACCACCAACAAAACACCCTTTTCCTCATGCAACTATTTACAAGTGAAGTGATGTGGTTGTGTGCATACCCTCCTGGCATGGGTGGCCATGGGTTGGGGCAGCCTAAGGGGCAGAGCCCGGGGACAGGCAGCCATCACACTGGCCTCTGGCCATTGCCTTATGTGTGCATATGCTGTGGTGAGACAGGTGAGTGTGGGGCTCGCCAGGGGCAACGGTGGTCGGTAGTCCCCTGGCATGGGCATCTTCCCCTCCGGCAACCAGTGTCCAAGGCTAACAGGGCTGGTATGTGGTCCTTGTCCCACTGCAGGCAACTCTGTGCCCACGTGGAGCCAGGGCGAGCAACAGGCCTGGGCCCAGGGCGGGGGGATGAGTTGCAGGGGATCCAGGGCAGGGGATGGGGCAGGGGCTCTTGGCCCATGGAAGGAGCGCTGGACTTTTGCCCAGGCCCATGGAGGGGGCCTGCTGCTGGGCAGTTGGCAGCTGCCAGAAAGCAGGTGGGGCTAGGGTTGGGGGCCGGGCAGCAGAGGCAGCAACCGCCAGGGCCAGGATGGTTTCCAGCACTTGACACTTGTACTCCATGGCCTCCACTGCCCTGCCCATGCCTGCACTCTGCTCCTGCAGGGCCTACACATGCTCACACTCCAGGGCCAGGAGCTGCGCCCTGAACTTCCAGTCTGCCTGGTCCCGCACATCCTTGCAGGCCACGTCCTCCACCCACCACCTGTTCTGCCAGGCAATGTCCTCCACCAGAGAGTCATCTGACGTCATCACCAGCCAGTCCAGGAGGAACATCATGTCCTGGGTCCTCCTCTGGCAAAGCCAGTGCATTTGCAGGGCCCTGGCTATGGGCAGCGGTGACTCTGAGGCTGCATCCTGGCTGCCAACGATGGCCTCTCCCCTGCGTGCAGCTGCAGGGCCTGCAGAGGCATGAGAAAGAAGCTGTTTTTGAGAGTTTGCAACATTTCTGAAATAAGATGCTCTGTACCAGGGGCACATATGCTATCCGGCACGGGTGCCCACGGACTATGATAGGCCTGGACCCAGGAGGCTGCCGGCTCAGCCCCCCATCCTGCTTGCTCCTCTGTGGCCAGTGGGCCACGGGTGCTGGTCACAAGCAGCCTGCCTCCTCTGCCCTATTCCCAGGCCAGGACCAGCCAGGCTCCTGGCTGCATCTGCTGCCATGCCTCCAGACCCTGCTGCCCCCACGTCTCCTCCTGCAGGCCTACCAGTCTCCTGTGCTGCCACCAATCCCACAGCATCCAGGCTTGGGGGAGGGTGCAGAGTTCACAGGTGACTGGAAAAAGGAGCTGCTCGTGCCCTCACCCTCCCTGCAGGGGATCTCTCTGGGGAGATGCCCCAGGGCCAGGCCTCCCCCCACAGCAGCGCTGCACCCCAAGCATGCCCCTGCTGTGTGTGTCCCCAGCACTGCACAAAGAGCTGTTTGTGCAGAGTGAGGGGTTCCCGATCCAGTATACCCTGCTGCTGCTGATCACCATGGCCTGGGCACAGCTGGCATGGGACCCTGAGCTTTGATGGTATGGGGGGAATCCTGGGCTGCCCTGCAACCTCTGCCATGCCTGGAGGGATACCTGTGGCTGCACTACGCATCCCTGCCCCCCACAACTGAGGAAGACATCACAACCAGCATTGACATATTCCTCAGCATGTGAAAGACCCATGCCTACCTAGCTGCAGATGCACAGGCTGCTCAACAAACTTTTGCACTATCTCCCACCTCCCTGCATGCTGTGGGTGCTGGGGAGAAATAAGGGGGCCGGGGAAGTGCAGCCAGCCTAGGAGGGAAGCAGGGGGGCAAGGAAAGGGGCTAGGGCTGGGGCCGAGACAAGGAGAGCCCTCCCCCCAGTCCAGGGCTTACCACATGGCCAGGGCTGGTATGGCCAGCAACTCCGGTCATTTCCAGCTGGTGGTGATGTCATGCGGCTCCAGGTGGACTCATGGATGAAAGGCTGTGTTGTACGGGTGCCTAGCCAGGGGAGGAGCTGGCACTGCTGGCAGCTGGCAATGGACGTGGCCAGCCATGCCTTGTGGCTGGGGCTGAGGCTGCAGAACTGTTATGGCAGGCACTGGCCCAGGCTCCCAGGGCTGCTGGTGGAGGCTGCAGATGGGGAGCTTGGTGGGATGGGCTACTGGCACCCTGAGGGGCCCTCCACTGGTGACACATCACCACAGGTGCCAGGCCAGGGCAGGGGCTCAGGCAGGTTGCCTGGGCTGCAGTACACAGCATGGCTGCAGCCTAGGTCCTGGGGTGCAAGGATGTCTGTCAGCTGCTGCATAAAGGGCATGATTGTGGTCAGTGATGGAAATCCACTGTCCCCACAAGGCCTTGACCTTTATGCGGCACTGCCACACCGACCAGTTGTGCCTGCACTCCTGCATCTGGCCTGATAGACCCTCACAGACATGGGCATTGGAGCCCTGCATAAACTGCGGATGCACCTCCACCTCAGCTCCCAGTGCCATGAGGTCACCAGTCTCCTCCTGTGACCAGTTAGGGCCCTGGATGGTGGGGTGTGGCATGGGCAATGAAGTCATCAGGGTTCCCGCACCGGCTCTCTGGGTCTCTGCACAGCTGTCCCTGTGCTGCTGGGCCTGGGCAGCTGCCTGCAATGCCCAGCGCAGGGCCACAGCACAGGACTGGCAGCCACATGGTGAGGCAATGCCTCACAGAACCTGCAAGTTCTGGGAAGGCTGCTGGGGATGGGCTGCAGGAAGTTGGAGCTGGCCCCAGGGACCAGGAGCTGCCTG